AGGGAGAGATGATACTATATAAAGACTTATAAGAAATGCAAAGCCAGAGAGGTAGGAGGACAGAAGCCAGAACAGCCCACTGAGTCTCTGCTCAGAGAGAGGACAAAATGGAAGCTACACCCTGACATGGGTAGGATCATCTGACCACCTTCTTCCTTCTGGAGATGGTGTTGGGCCAGACTTGCCAGGGCTAGCAGGAAGCTGATGAAGAGTTCCAGTGACATTATGAGGGTGTGGATGGGCTGGTCTATGTGCGGGAAGGCATGGATACCAACGGAGATCTGGGCAGCTTGAAAGAGGTACAAGGTGGGAATACATTTGTCTTTGAGGCTTATCAGACAAGACTGCCAGATGGAAGAAATGGGGATGAAAGGGTTGTGAGTTTGGCTAAGTGGAGAAAAGAAGCAGTGCTATCTCACCTAGTTGGGCCTCTCACACAAGCTGCAGGAAGCCTGTTTGTAATGAGTAGACAAAATAACTACCTCTTCCTTCTCAGAAACCTACTTGCATTTTTCCAAAAGTGAATGTTGTGGAAACTGACATCCAGGCCACATCTTGCAGGAAGGCAGTTTTATCTGGAGCTCTCAAACTCTTCCTGACTCACACCAACAGCCCTATATAGGAGAAAGAATCAACGAGTCCTTTATCATCTTAGAAACTCATCCTAAAAGAGGTGAGGTAGGTGAAAAGTGCTTGCAGTAAACTGACTGTCCAGACGCACTGTGACTCCCACATGTAAGCCATGTTTTATAAGAAGCCATTATTAGGTACAGTTGTGTACACTTTGATTCTCATATCCAGTAATGATGGTCAGCAAGTTTTCATGATAATTACAGCACTGGAATGCCTAGTAAATCTAGCTTTCCTCTCATCCTGTATGATGTGGAAGTACTGCCATCTGGCTATAGCACTCACCAATATACTCAAATATCCTCTTGAGAGTAGTCTTGGAGACACTGCAAGCTCCCACAAATTGGAACCAGAGCCAAACTAGGTAGGTGGAATAATGCTGTTATTTTTGCCACTACAGCAGAGTGTGGAGTACAACAGCTCTTTGAGGAGGTGGATAAATCACACATAGTCTGCACCAAACTCCGTGCCATTACTGTAGTACACGTATATAACAGGATCTAGCTATTACCGGACTAGCTTTGGTGCATGTGAACTACAATCATAGCAGTAAATGCAGTGTAGACTTAGCCCACTTATTCCAGGTTTACTGGGATGTGTCACGTCAACCTGTTTTCTGAACAGGAAGGCATCCCAGCCTTGGATGTCAGTCTGCATCAGACTTCTGTCTCCCCTTGCATTCTCCATGCTATTGATCTGACTCTTGACAACTGAAGCTGAACACCATTACAAGCTGTCACGTTCCCTGAAAGTGCATATGAAAACTCCAGACTTCCCCATCACAGGAGAAAGGGTTTTCGATTTGAGGTGTCTGAAGTTGATTGCAGACTGCAGTGAATACTGGCAGACTGAAGTGAGTAAATAAGTATGGGTAAGGGAAAGAAGGCCAATACGGATACATAGGCTAGATGCCCATTTGTATGTTTGTACTGTATGATTCTGTACAGTACAGTATGTAGACGTATCTTTATGCAACGCGTAAGTGCTGTTTACTTGCCTTTATATAAAGTTCCTTTGCAACGACTCTCCGCAGCTGGCCATACCAGACAGCAAACACCACCACTTCACTTCCTGAGAAACGTTCTCCTTGCTTTTGGGTGGGCTGAAGGACTTAATTTGTATGGGGATGTCTGTAGATGTATAACATGTACAATTTGGATGAGTTGGACTCGATGATCTTGAGGTCTCTTCCAACCTAGAAATTCTGTGATTCTGTGATTCTGTGACTGTCTCCCTGATAGATTAAAAAAAAAAAAAAAAGTGAACCAGAAGGTGCACTTCTCCTGTAGGACCACTAAGTGTCACCATCACTCCATAGCTTGCTCTGCAAGATGACGTTTCTCCAGCAAAATTCCTTTGCTGAAATAGGTTGGGATGTTGTAACTTGCTGAGAAGCTCGGGGTGGGGAAGGTCGGCACCTAAAATGTGAGAAAGCGATGCTGCCGATGAAATGAATCCTGGATTATATTTAGGCATAGTGCTAGACAGGTTTCCAGCCAGTTCTTACCAGCCAGTTTCATGAAGTGTAGTGTGAGCCTCAATGAGAATAATTTAAAGATGGAACAAGTGCTTTATGAGGAGATACTAGAAAGGCTGTGATTCTATCATCTGATGAGCAGAATTTGGTGAGCAGATGGGGGATCGAGATCTACAAAAATAAAGAAGGCAGTGTATAAAAAGAATAGAAAACTGTTCTTAAGAAAAAAAATAATAATAAAAAAAATCTGCTTTCTTCAGTTCTGTCCATGATAGAACTGGGGGCATACGCTAAAACTGCTCAGTTTTTAGATTTTAGGTGCTCAGTTTAAAACTAAGTACTTTACAATAAAAGAACATGCAGCTATGGGAGTTGTAGGAGCAGGCAATATTGGCAGGTTCACAGGGCATGTAGACAAACTAATGGAAAACCAATCTATAAAGACACCAAAGGGAACAGGTAGTGATATATTTTCGAAGATCCCTACTATTCTGCTTAGTTGTGGGAACAGAACAAGGAGAATGGACTGTAGATATTGGCCAGGTGCACCTGCTATCCCTAAAAAGTATTAAGTGCAGCTGAATCTGGTGGATTGAAAGATCCAGAGGCTTCCTTCCTTCCTGGACCAATGAATGGGAGCATCATACGTGTTTGAATTCCCACCAGTAGCAGAGTGGTGTGCAAATTCACAACAAGCATGCACACAAGTTTAATACAGACAGGAGACAATACTTTAAAGACACTCCTATAAACACAGCATGAATAGCCTGACCTTGTTTCTAAGGATCAGTGGTCAGAGAAGCTTTCCTTCATAGACCTCTCTTGGGTTTTTGGCTCTCAAACCATTCACCCTACTTGCAGGCTAAAAGACTTTTAAGTTTATTAGTGTGTCACTCACACGCACACAAAAGAGCACAGTCACACAGGAAATAACTGAAATGGTTTATTAAAAATATAGTACAGGCTGATGATCAGGTGCAAAACTTGTTCAGACCAGTGCACTGTCCAGAAGCTTCTTAAATAATTAGCAGCTTAGTTTGCTCCTCTATGCATTTTCTCATGTGTGTTCATCTCTGACCCATCCTGTTCCCCCCTTTTCCCTGCCTGTAATTATTACCCCAAACATATGGCTATAGTCCTGCAAATCATCAAATTCTCTTGTTCGGTTGCAAAATCCCTCTCCCCAGAGCATCCCATGGTAAGTTGTAATGCCTCTTTATTGCAGGAGTTCCCCTTTGTTTGCACAGATTCCAGAAAGAGTTTCTTCCCTTGAATCACCTTTAGTGGGTTTTGCAACAGGGACAAATGGCTTAGCCCTTGAGGCTTTTAGGAGTGGTTGATTCACAGGGATTAAGTTGGCTGAGTTCCCCGCCTTGTCATTGTTCCTTTGATCACTATCTGACCTTTATTTAAATAAATAAAAATAAATAAATAAATCAGTCAGATACTTTTCCATCTGAAAGAAAAAAGAACCCCAAGCATTTGGAGGCATAAGCCTAAGCACCTTCCTGTATGGTGTGTTTTTCAGTTTTTCAGGCAGCAGTAAATGTCATTTTGATTCTAAATCAATGGGATCAACTTTGGTCCTAAATCACTGATCTCCTGTGAAATGATAGTCCAGGACTTGGACTACTGAATCAGATGCAGTGTTCTTGCAACACGAGGCTCAAACTTGTTGCTTATGGGATTTATTATGCTCCTTGTACATGCAGGTGAAGTGTGGTTCCTTTCTGCTTTTCTTTTGTTTCTCCCCCCGCTATCTTGGTGCACAGCCAGTCGTCCTTAGAGGAGACTCAGCAGCTCTGGTAGGGACGAGCCACTAGCCTGACAGGATAGGAAGTTTCTGGTGATGTTAGAAAGAATCCCTCTTGAAAAACAGTGCTATTGCTACAAATGAGTAACAGTTTACCCTAATCGACCACCTCCCTAAGACAGGTAATGGACAGCAGAACTGATGTTCTTCATCAGTACTAAAGTGAAGCAAGGCCACAAAGTGCCTGCGCTGCGTAGCTTCGCTCTTCATGGCTAAGTGTGGTCATTAAACCCTGGCACTTGTTTTTTTTTACACTCTTTTCACGTGTGTTTCCACTGTGTGCACGTTCTCCAGGCAGCAAAGCGGCGGCACCGCCGGCCCTGGGGGGGTTCAAGGAGAGGCTGGATGTGGTGCTTGGGGACAGGGTTTGGTGGGGGACATTGGTGGCAGGGGGATGGTTGGAGCGGGTGATCTGGGAGGGCTTGTCCAGCCTTGATGGCGGTGTGCTTGTAACCATGGCGGGCACAGGTACCGTGGCCGTGCCCTGTGCCCACCGGCACGTTCCCCAGAGGGCACCGCAGCCATTTCGCCCCCGGCCTCCAGCGGCGCCGAGGCCTGAGGCCCGGACCCCAGGCCCCGCCAGGTCGCCATGGCAACCGCAAAGCGGCGGCGGGGCGGGCGGTGGGGGGGGGGGGGGGGGGGAGAGGGCGCCATGACGTGCCCGGAAGCGCCCCGAAGGGCGGAAGTGACGGAGCGGGGGGGAACCCCGAAGACAAAAATTTTAAAAAAAAAGGGAAAAAAAAAAAAAGAATAAAAAAGGGAGAGGGGGCGGGGCCTAGCGGAGCCACGCCCCCTCCAGCCCCCAGCGGCCTCGCAGGGCCCCCGGGGCCGGGGCCGGGGCCGCGGCGGCGAGGTAACGCCCCGCCCCCCCCCCGCTCCCCCCCCCGGAGCCCTCCCTCCCCCGGCACAGGGGGGCCCCGCGCCCCGCCCCTCCCCGCCCCGCCCCGCCCCGCCCCGCCCTGCCCGGCCCGGCGGGGCTCGGCCCGGCTGCCCGCGCTCGGGGGGGGCGTGCCCAGAGCAGCCGAGCCCGGCCGGGCGCTGCGGTAAGGAGGCGGCGGCAGGGAGGGAAGGGAAGGGAAGGGAGGTGTGGGGGAGGCCGGGCCCCGAGCTGACAGCGCCCGCGGGGCGGCCATTGTGCGCCCTGCCCCGCTCCGCTCCGATGGGCGAGGGGGCAGCCTCGCCTCGCCTCGCCTCGCCTCGCCCCGCCGCTGCCCGGCGCTTTGTGCAGGGCCGTGCAGCAGCAGCAGCAGCAGCAGCAGGTGGCCGTGCCCCCGCCGTGCCGCAGCGCCCTGAGGGGGCTGTGCAGGAGGGGGCCCCGCTGGTGGGGGTGGAGGCGTGGGGCTGGCTCCGGGGAGGCTGCGGAGCCGGGTGGGAGGGGAGCGGGCGCCCTGCAGGAGGGGGGGGGAGCGAGGAAAACTTTGGTGCCGCCGCTGGTAGGGCCGGGGAGCCGAGCCCCGAGCCGGGGGGCTTTGTGCTGCCCCGGGGCTGCCGCTCGGGGTGCAGCCCCCTGCGAGGCACGGCCGGTTGGAGCAGCCGCCTGAATGGGAATCGCTCCCACCGACCGCCCTCTTTCGCAGGGGGTCCGCCAGTGGCGTAGGGAAGGTACTTTTTGGAAAATGCCTCGCTTAAATGCCTTCGGTGGGTCGCTCATGGCAAGGGGCAGCGTCCAGGGGTCTGACAGCGCAGCGGGCACCGGGCCGGCACTGGGGAGGTGCGGGAAGGTGTGCGTGGAGGTGGCCGAGTCTGGGATACTTCACGTGGTAACAACCCGACCCAGACACACGCTGGGGAACCGCATCCCTGGGTGTACTTTCCTGGTGGCAGCAGACCCTGGCTCCCCGTTTTTGAGTTTGGGAAGGGTTTTGTAAGATAATCCTGCTTGTTACAAGTGGTGTAAATCCTTACTGGCCTTCTGCAAAGGGAGAGTGTGCCTCTCCATCCACGTCCCCAGAAGAGACACCTAAATGCTTGTTGATGCTTTTCATCCCAGAGGCACCGCTGTTTCAGTAGGGTTCCAGGTTTGTGCCAGCTCCTGGTTTTAGGAAGCTCTAGACCAATGTCAAACTCCAAAACACTGGTAACCTTAGGACTGATGCTGTTGTGTACTGAGGAAATACAGGCTGGTGGAGCAGAGCACCAACTTGGAAGCCAGGTTTCTCCTCCTAGTACCCTGAGAGTAAGGTCATACGTGAAGCTGGACAAACAGCGTGCTGAGTTGCCTTCTCTTCCACCTGACTGGCAGCTGAATTAGCTCACCTGTGAGTCCACAGCTCACTGATCTGACTGAAAATGATGCTTAGGGTAGTTTTTCTGTAAAGTTAACAAGTTAAATCAACTGATGGAAGGGTCCAGTGAGTGCTGGAAGTAAGGTAATTGTCTCCTGCTTGTAGCTGAACTACTGGATAACTTGGTGTAATGTGTACAGCTTTGCTCCAAGTTGCATTTTAATCCCATTTGAAGTATTTCATATATTTACACCAGTTCCTTTCTCTGAAAATCTCTGTGTTCTCTCCCTTTTCAGTTGCTTTAGGCTTCATCTACTTTTTTTGGTGCTGCCCCCTGGGGAGCATCTTGTGTTCTGGGTATTGATCGTCTGCTTCTAACTATAACAGAGTTGTGGGTGAAGACAGTGGTGGCCAGTTGAGAGAGTGTGTTTTAGCTGAGGAAAAGGTGGCTGGGTGTTACCTGCCCGTGGTCAGTGCTGGAGCAGGTACAGGACTGTAGTATTGCATTAGCAATAGATGCCTAGGCAGGACTCAAGAGCAGAGGTGTAGATTCGTGGGGAAGCCAGGACTGGAACAACATCTGCGTGCTAGTCAGTGACGGAATTTACCAGATTTTGAGGAGAAGGTTTGGAACAGTGGATCCCTGATACAATCAGCCGTCCACAGCTATTAATGTTGATGCTCTTGTCCCGCTTCAAAGTTGTCTGTGCCATTCAGGAGTTTAGAAACTTGTCTGGTGGAAAATATTGGTGCACTCCCTTGTATGCTGTGCTGCTCTGTTTGTTTACTGACCTGGAAGAAGTTGCCTTTGGTGCGGGCTGTGAAGCTTGACAACTCTGGGTTTGAAAAGGTCTAAATACAGGGGCTGTGCTGATGCTATGGGATCTTCCATCAGTGATAAACAGACTATCAGAAGCTTTTTTCTTTTTTTTTAAGCTTTATGCAAATGATATCCTTCTGAAAAGTCTCTTTTTTTCAGTAGAATTCTGTTTGTGTCTAACCACTTTTGTACATTTCCTGTTCTCACTCTACCTTCTACCATTACTCCTGGTATAGCCCATCTTTCTTGCTACACGAAGGCTCCCTGATCATCCCAATACATTACTTTTCTGCTAAGCACTTTTTTCAGTCTTTCTTTTCTTCCTCTTGGCTGATGGATGCCTTCTCCAGGCCTTGTTTAGTTCTGCAGTTCACCGCAACTCATCTTTCTGCCCCTGGAATATCTGTACGACCTCTGTGGTGTGCTTCCCCTCATAAGTATTGCTTGTGATGCCTTTGTCCACCCTACTTCTGGCTCCACTCTTCCTTAAACCAACTTGCCACCCCAGATACCAGCTTCCAGTCTGATATTTGAGTTGCGGTGTGTCAGGAACAAGGAGTAGCGAGAAGTGCATGTGATCAGAGAAAGAAAGAGACAATTACGGATCTGGGGCCATCCCCGATTACGGATGGGAGAAAGGACTGAGTTGGTGTATCTGAAGGGCAGCGGAGTTGTGGAATAATTACACCTAATTACAGCAGGAAGAGGTGCTGAGAAGCTGTGGAAGTACAGTGGGAGACTGGAAGTACAGTTAATTCACCTGAGTTCACTAGCCTCAAAGCAGAGGTGATCAGGTCTGTAACCAAGTGGTTGTCTGAATGAGCTGCAGCTGCTGGTTCGCTTTGCTGCCTGTTTAAGAACTCAGGATGCTATAGTGTCCGATTGTAGCATGGCAATAAAAATACGAGGATGTGTGTGTTACATTTCAGACTGTGGTAACAGAAGACTTAAACTGTGAGTATAATTTCTGGGTTATTTCAGCTCTGAGCATCCCCAGCCCCCTTTGATGTAGCAAAGCTGTGGAAGAAGCCTGGTACTGGGATATTCGAGTAAAAAAAAAAGCTGTGTAATGCAGTGAAATACAGTTTGGCTCTTTCTCTAGCCTGACTTAGTTTCCAAATCTTTCGATTTAGATCTGGAGTCGATCCCAGCCTGAGCTCCCAGGATCCTGTCACCATGGAGACTGAAAGTGAGCAGAACTCCGGCTCCAGCAGCGGCAGCTCCAGTTCTGGAGGAAGCACCCGTCCTCAGATATCACAGATGTCTCTGTATGAGCGACAGGCTGTGCAGGTAGGACACTGCTGCGTTCTGGGATTGAGTGTGCAATAGCCGAAGGGTGTTGAGCCCTTTCATGTCCATCTGGGTTGTCATGTGTCAAGGTGGGAGCATGCTGGAGGAGTACAGGGATCCAGATGTGCAGGGATGGGAGTAGCAAAGCCAAGGCACAGATGGAACTGAGCTTGGCAAGGGATGCAGGGAATAACGGGAAGGGATTCTGTAGGTACTTTGCTCAGAAAAGAAAGGCCAAGGAGAGTGTGCCCCTCTGATAAATGAGAAGGGTGAACTGGTAATAACAGACATGGAGAAGGCTGAGGTACTCAACAACTTCTTTGTCTCAGTCTTCACTGCCAGTCAGGCTTCACACGTCTCCCATTTCCCTGAACCTGTAGATAAGGGCTGGGGAGAAAAGTCCCTCCCACAAGTGAAGAGCACCTGGGCCAGGGCAATCCTGGTCATGAGCACGGACTGGGAGAAAAATACAACGAGAGCAGCCCTGCAGAGAAGGACTTGAGGATTCTGGTAGATGAAGAGCTCAACATGATCCAGCAGTGTGCACTTGCAGCCCAGAAGGCCAACTGCATCCTGGGCTGCATCAAGGAGTGGCCAGCGGGTAGAGGGAGGTGATCATCACCAGGTCTGGGGCCCACGGCACAAGAAGGATGTGGGGCTGTTAGAATGAGTCCGGAGGAGGGTCACAAAGATGATATGAGGAATGGAGCACCTCTCCTATGAAGAAAGGCTGAGAGAGCTGCGGCTGTTCAGCCTGGAGAAGAGAATGCTCTGGGGTGACCTCATTGCAGCTTTCCAGTACTCAAAGGGGGCTTATAAAAAAGATGGAGAGCAACTTTCTGCATGGGCAGATAATGACAGGACAAGGGTGAATGGTTTTAAACTAAAAGAGGGGAGATTGACAGTAGAGGTTAGGAGGAAATTCTCACAGGGGGTGGTGAGGCACTGGAACAGGTTATGCAGAGAAGCTGTGGATGCCCCATCCCTGGAGGTGTTCAAGGCCAGGCTGGATGAGGCCTTGGGCAGCCTGATCTAGTGGAAGGTGTCCCTGCCTATGGCGGGGTGGGTGGAGTTAGATGATCTTTAAGGTCCCTTCCAACCTGAGCTGTTCTATGATTCTGTGATACGCTTGAAGAGCTGTCCTGTTTTGGGATTTAGGAATTATTATATTAGGCCTGATCTTTACTTCCCGTAGTCTGGTGCTGTGCATTGTGTTTTGTAAGCTACTTTTCCAGCGTCCAGCCTTTTAGATTTAGTCAGTACTCGGATTTTAGCTCTGCTGTCCTTGTTCAAGTCATTCTGTTTATTGTGCCATTTCCTCTATATAGTCTATATGGTGTATATACATACTATGCTGGAACACTTGTCTGTCTACTAAAGCACAAATTGCCAAATTCCTGGAGTTTTTAAAAGTTTTTTAAAGTGTGTTTCCTGCTGTCCTGGAATATGTCTGTGATTCAGTCTGTTACCAGTTTGCAGCTTCTTTACCTGTTCTGTTATACTAATCTGATGGCTTTTTTTTTTTTTTTTTTTTTTTTTTTTTTGTGGGGATGTGATATGGTCCCAAGGCTCTTATTTCTTCATTTCTCTCTGATCACGTTTCAAGGGCATACTGTTTTTTAACAATTGGGTTTTCCTCTTTCTCTAGGCTCTTCAAGCACTCCAGAGACAGCCCAATGCCGCTCAGTACTTTCATCAGTTTATGCTCCAGCAGCAGCTTAACAGTGCCCAGCTTCACAGCTTGGCTGCTGTCCAGCAGGTGAGTTAAAAGGGGGCAGAAGGTGAGGAACTGGGTGATTCTTTACTTGCACTCTGACTTACATACCAAGGTCCTGATCTGCAATTAGACAACTGGTACCTAATTGCACTACTTGCAATGTGTTAAACACATTTTTGAATGTAATATAAACAGCTAGTAAACTGGAAGCTTGATGGAGTGTTTTGTTTAGTTTTCAGGTACAAAAAGGGGAAGATAAAATATAGCATCACATAAGGGAATTTGCACATTGGAGGCATGTGACTAGCTACTGTACCTCCATTAAATGAAAGATGGGTGTTTACATCACCAGTGAATGCGGTAGTGTTTTAGAACAGTCTTAAAGAAAACGATAGATTGTTATTTCTCTGAGGATAAATGTAGTTCTCTGTGTGTGAAACTTCATGTGGTATCCTCTGAGTTTTTCTTTCTTGAAACTTACTATCACGTGGTTTCTTTTCCAGTTACTAGCAAGAAGGATCTGGGGTAAATCTCCTCCATGAAGAAGGGTTTCTTTAATTGAGTTTGTTGAGATGATGTATCCTGCATAAATGAACTTTTTTTTTTCTAATTTAACGACTTCGCTCACTTGAACTGATGACAAATTCAGATGAGATGAATTATAGGTGATGTGACAGTATACTTTTGTCTATGTAACAATATCTCCATCAATAGCTGTGCTTCTTGGCTGTTAGTCCGGGTTTTAGTTGTTTTCAAATCCCTACCTGCAGTTTTATAGCACAGACCACATAGAATCCCTCACCAGTATTATGTGAATCTTAGTTGTAAAACCAACTAAACGTATACAGTGTGCTTGCCATGGCATCATTGTAGGAAAGGAAAAAAAATCTGTTTACCTTTCTCTGCCAGCTGAATGTGCTGTAATCTGAAATTTGTAACTTGCAGTACTATCATTGCATTGTTACTAATCTGTATGACTAGCTGAGCAAATTGGTAATATTTCAGGGGATGTCTGGGTGTTAACAGAGTGGACTGGAGCATCAGGATGAGGGGTTGCAGTGTGTAGCATGACAAACTGGGGCAACGTTCTTGGGAATGGGAGAAGATGATGGTGATGGTATTTAGTGTTCTTACAAAAACAAATATTTGGGCTGGATAAAAAAAAGGTTTTTTTTCAGGTACTCATTCCTCTGTCAATCTCTCTTGCAGGCTACAATTGCAGCCAGCAGACAAGCCAGCTCCCCCAACACCAGCACCCCACAACAGACTACCACCACCCAGGCCTCCGTAAGTAATTACACAGATCAAAGCCTTTCCCCACACCCTGCTCCACTCTGCCCTTGTTCTTTCTACTCTTTGTCTTTTAGGAAGGCAGGCAGCCAGGGAAACACAGCTTCTAGGAATGCTGGGAATCCACAAGATACAGACAACTTGAGGATTTGGGGTACTGTCATTATTGGTTGGGGTTGAGGAGCTCCAAAAAGGTTTCTGAGTGGGATAGGCTTCTTAGCTGGAAAGGTAGAGAATATCTTTTTCCTGAGCCTTTGGGGATATGTTTTCTTGGTTTAGGAGAAGATCAGGATTTATAAGAAGGAGGAGTTGTGAGCAGCTTGGAAGGCGATGCTCTTTTGTTTCGAGGTAGCTCATTGAATGAGAGGAAGTATGATTTTATAGCAGGTATTGGGGAACTGGGACTTGTTCAAAGAGTATAGATGAGTTGTTAAGGCAGATTATGTTATGATTTTTTTCTCCCTTTACTTGAGAGGCTGGAGAAAATGTATTTTTAGTTCTCTTTTGGATCTCTTATTGAAGTTGCAAAGTAGCAGTGATACTCAGGCTCATCATACAAATGAGGTTAGCATCCAAGATTTTGGCTAGTTCAGATCACATAGCCTCTTAAGGCAAGAATTTCCTTCTTTATTCTTGGACCCCTGCGGGATACAGGGAAAAACTGTGAAATATTTGTTCTGGCTGTACCCCAGTAAGTGAAATTTTACTTCTTTCTTTGCCCCTCCATCTCTTATATGATTTTTGTCTTTTTTTTTTTTTTTTTCTGTTTTAAGATCAATCTAGCCACCACATCAGCAGCTCAGCTGATTAGTCGCTCACAGAGTGTGAGTTCCCCCAGTGCCACAACTCTGACGCAGTCTGTGCTCCTTGGGAATACCACCTCACCACCTCTCAATCAGTCACAGGCCCAGATGTACCTCCGGGTAAGAGATCAGGACACATTTTGTGTACTTACCATAAACCCCACTTTCTAGATGCTCCAGTGTTTCACTGTTTGGGACTACCAACTACTTAGGGCTAACTCCAGCTCTAAGACTGATACGATATGTTTTAAATTCAGATGAGGAACTCTTATCCCTGAAACCACATTTGACTTTGAGCTCAGCTTTTGAGGGTAAATTAGCTTTGTACTGTGTATTGAAATTCTTAAGAACTATGTTTGTCTCTGCTCTGCATAGATGTTAAAGATCCCATGGCACTTCTCAGTAGAGCATAAATGTGAAACATATATCCTAGACTGGAGTAGAACTGGCAGAAAAAAAGCTGCTCTTCTTGTTGATTGCTGGAACAGATATATGGTAAATTACTCCCTTCAGTCACTGCACGCAGGGATGTAAGTCAGGATTCAAGTAAGTCTAGGAACGTAAATCAACAGGAACAAATTTCTCATCCTTTTGATTAGTATGAAGTGCTGCTGTATGGAAAACAGACGACTATAATCTATCTGGAGTTTGGTTACCTACTTGAAAAATATGTTCTGTGTCTCAGTTGGCTTTACAGTTTGTAATCCTCTGGTCTTGGGTGTATGTCTTTTATCACTGTTTCTCAACCAGTCCTGAATATACATTTCAAAATTAAATTATACACAAGTATTTTAGCTGGTCCTGGGCAGCTTGTGGGAGTTGCCCCGGGCCCATATTTAACAGAAGACTGCTTGTTTCCAGAAGGAAACTGTTTCCTGCTCTTGAGGGTTATGTTACAGTACAGTGTGGGGAAGGGTGGCTGGGGGGAATGCCGTGTACAACATTGCAGCCTCGTGTTGCTTTGTAATCTGCTTGTGGTTCGCTGTCTGTCTTTCTCTCTTCCCCCTTGGTTCCTTTCATTCCACATCACCTGACCCATCCCCAACAGCCACAGCTGGGGAACCTGTTGCAGGTAAACCGGACCTTGGGCCGCAATGTGCCTCTTGCCTCCCAACTCATCCTGATGCCTAATGGGGCCGTGGCTGCTGTCCAGCAGGAGGTACCACCCACCCAGTCTCCTGGGGTCCATGCAGACACAGACCAGGTCAGTGACACCCCCTCCCAGAGCCCTTCCTGTCCCCAGTACACAACCTGCACTCTGGTTCTTGTCTCCAGCCTCCTCTGCCTGCACAGAAGATTCGCTCTATTTTATCCCCATTCTGTGTCCCTGTAACTACTGCAGGCAAGAGATATTGCTCTCTCTTGCCATCATTTCCTGGTGTTTGCTTTCTGCCTCCAGAGACTGGATTCATTTCTGATTAAAATTTCTGGGATGTGACATGGGCTGGATCAATCATGTTTTCACAGCTTTTTACTTGTCCTTGTGTGAAAGGAACTGTTGAGTTCTGTGTCCATTTTTCAGCGAGACATTCACTCTACAATGAAGAGTCTTTGTTAGCAATAGTGTTCCTTAACCTGGGTGGTTTGTTGTAAAAATGCCGACGACTGAACATGCCACAAGGTCTTAGCTCCTGCACTCAGCTGTAAATCTTTCTCTGGGTCAGAGAGCTGCAGTGGCTTCCCATTTTCCTGGTCCTAACCTAGTCATTCTTGGGATTTCCAGTTACTTCATATTTGTATTTTCTGGAGCCCTTTCTTTGTGGCAAAGTTAGCCACAATTGAACTTGAAGATAATGCTGCATTTGGAGGGGGATTAAATACTGAGGATGGTAGCACTGAAATGCAGAGGAACTGGTGAAATCAGCAAGGCTGCAGGCCTCCTGAATGGAAAGCACTGTACGGATAGAGGAGGCAAGTGGCACAAAAACTGTGAAGGAATTACTGGTCTTTAAAGGGGTATCTCAGTTCTTTTACAGCCATGCTAACGTGGATCCTAGCAATGCGAGGACAAGGCAGACAGGTCTGGAGGCTGTCCCGTGCCTCAGAAAGAATGGTGTTTTCCTCAAGTGCTGTTCAGAAAGTGCCACGAGATCTTTAACTTCCATCAGAGATGGGGCAGAAGGCAGTTCAGGTTAATATGTTTTCTAGGGAGGGTTGCACCTGAGCCTCGCCCTGTGGTATGAGCCAGCTCCCCAAGTTAGACTTACAGCATTGGCTTGGCCTGCATCCCAGCAGAGAATATTGCTGATGCATTCTCTTGTTCTGTACCTCTCTCCAACTTCCAGGAGGAAACATGCATGATGCAAATGGACTGTGTTCTGTATGTGTGTCTCTAGGTGCAGAACTTGGCTGTGAGGAGCCAGCAGACCTCATCCACTAATGCCCAGCTCCAAAGCTCTGCTCAGAAGGCAGCTCTACCAGGAAACTCCCAGGCTTCGTGCCTGCCACAGGCCACAAGTACAGGCCAGACCTTGGCAGCAGCTCAGGTGTCTTCTAGCAGCACAGGCCAGTCCCTCAACTTGAGTCAGGGGGCAGCAGGCAGCAATGGTGTCTCTGGGGGTGTGGTGGCAAGCAGTGGGAGCCAGACCTCAACAGGACTGAGCCAGACAGCCTCGGCAGGTGCCGCTGGCAGTTGCCAAAGGAAAGGCACAGGGGTAGTGCAACCACTACCAGTAGCAGCTGCCCAGGCAGTGACTATCAGCCAGGGAAGCCAAACGGACACAGAGAATGCAGCCACAAAGAAGGGCGAAACGGACAGTGGCGGACAGCAGACAGTGGGCATGAACCTGACGCGGACAGCTACACCAGCACCCAGCCAAACGCTGATAAGCTCAGGTGAGTGGTGCTCTCTTCCTTCTCTTTGAACCAGTTGAGCTTTCAGAAGAGTGCCATTTAAAGCTCAGTGGTGAGAGGTTTCCCAACAAGCCTCCCAGTTGCCGTGCTCCTGGATGCTGTTCTCTAGGGATTATCCTGCTCTACTAATGACAGAAGTTGATCCCAGCCCGTTCAGTTCCCACTATCCTCTGCCAGTTGGCTGTCAGTCATTTTGGAACATAACAATTCAAACCAGTGTGGTGGCTGCTTGCCTTTTTTTTTTTTTTGTTCCCAGTTGTGCTGTTGCTAACCTTTGTGCTCTCCTTTTCTCTGGTTCTGTGTTTGTATAGCCACGTATACACAGATTCAGCCACACTCATTGATCCAGCAGCAGCAGCAAATTCACCTGCAGAAGCAGGTGGTGATTCAGCAGCAGATTGCCATTCATCACCAGCAGCAGTTCCAGCACCGCCAGTCCCAGCTCCTCCACACAGCCACCCATCTCCAGCTGTCCCAGCAGCAGCAACAGCAGCAGTCACCATCTCTGACCCAACAGCAGCAACAAGCTCAACCTCCACAGCAGCAGGCGCCACCTCAAAACCAGCAGCAGGCTCAGACCCTTGTGGTGCAACCGATGTTGCAGTCCCAGGCACAGCCTGTTCAGCTCCAGCAGGACAGTTCTTGCCAGCCAGCCACCAAATCACCTGTTCCAATCCAGTCAAAATCTATGGTCGCTCCCATCAAACCGCCTCAGCTTGGGCCTGCCAAAATGTCAGCAGCGCAGCAGCCTCCGCCACACATTCCTGTGCAGGTGGTGGGTACTCGGCAGCAGGGCTCAGGCCAAGCCCAAGCACTGGGTTTAGCTCAGATTACTGCAGCAGTGACGACTTCCCGGGGAATGCCAGCTGTGGTCCAGCCCGTTTCCCAAGGCCATGCTGCTTCCCCATCCTCTTCAGCTCCACCATCCTCACAGGAAGCTCCCCCTCTCACCACAGGGGTGAATTTGGCACAAGTTCAAGGCACAACCCACATGGTGAAGAGCCCAGCCTCCTCTCCAGTTGTGGCTCAGATGCCAGCAGCATTCTACATGCAGTCTGTCCAGCTGCCAGTAAGTGAGACCATCAAGAAGGGAATACCACATGGATTCTCTTTGTTCAGTCCTAGGACACTAACTGCATTCCAGCCCTGGGTCGGTGGGACGGGAGGAATAAGAGGTTTGGATTAAGGGATATAGAGGCTTTTCCTCTCAAAAATGCTGATTCCAGTCCAGCCCTTGTGGTTACTGACTACAAACAGTTTTCTTTCATGTGATCATTCAGAGGCTTGCATGACACAAACTGGTGAGACTTGGACCCCGATTCAAATGGAGTAGATGTCCACATCACGTCCTAAATATCCCATTTAACAGCAGTTGGCCTCTTTGTCTCTCAGGAGAGAGAAGACAGCTGAGTGGGCTGTGAAGCCTGAGCTCCCCTCTCCCCACTAGGTGCAGATACCTCCAGGCCAGAGACCCCTCGGTGTGTGGTTATCAGCCACTGAGGCAGGGCTGGCTCTAGGTCTCAGAGGATTCCCGAGCAACAGACTATGCAGAGGTAGACAAAGATGGCTCATGTTCCGTAGGCCTCGTGTGCTGCTCTAAATTGGCCAACCACGGCCTGCCTGACTCCCTGGGACACTGACACTTTCAGCTCAGATAGCCATAGTCAGTTGCTGAGACTGTTAATTTGACTGGGTTTTCGCTTGTGTAGTCAAGGGCAAAATGTGTCAGTTTGTTTCTAAACTAGCTGCTGCTTCAGGGAGCTGTCAACAGGATTTGTCTGATTTTACAGCTGAGGGACAATTCTGCTCTCACCCAGCATACTTCCCCTATTGTTTTGACTCTGTTTCTTCATTGGAACTGATTGATTTAGCCAAAAGCCTGTTTGGAAACTGCTGGGTGAATGCCATTCCATTTCTTCCGGGAATAATCCCTCAAGGTTTGCAGGGTGTCCTGGTGTTATATCAGTGTATCGATATATCAACCAGGATGCTACATCTTAGTCGGTAGTTCTGTGGTATGTATGTCTTCTGAAGTTTTAGCTCCCTGCTAGGTAAATGCTCCTAAACAAAGATGGGAGCTGGATTCATTTCCAGGAGTGGGAACCAGGCTGGAGATGAAGTCTGATGGAGCAGGATGTATCGTGTTGCCTTCCATTTGTGTTGCTCTCTGCTTTGGGGCTCTTCTCTCTGCTTACGTGTGCCTCTTCGTTCATTCAGGGCAAGTCTCAGACCTTAGCAGTAAAACGCAAGGCAGAGTCAGAGGAGGAGAAGGAGGAATCAGCCAGTGTCACTGCACTGCTGCCTGCCAGGTCTTCTCCTGTGACAGACAGCCCCAAAAACATGGAGGAGAAGAATGGCTTTGGAGGTGAGGTACAAAAGGAGAGCTCTGTTTTTTCTGTACTAACGATCTGATCTCAAGTTCCACTTGAAGTAAGCGGAGCAATAGTAACAGTGACTTTGGTGCTGTTAACATTCCAGATAAATCCGATCCTGCTGCCGCTGCGACCCCAAATACCACCTCCAGTGAAGGAGCATCAGTCACCCCCACCTCTGCACCCACCCCAAACCTAGCAATGGTGTCACGTCAGATGGGAGACTCCAAACCCCCACAAGCCATTGTTAAGCCCCAGATCCTCACGCACATCATTGAGGGCTTTGTCATCCAGGAAGGAGCAGAACCCTTTCCGGTAAGGATTCACTGCTGTGGGGAAAGGAGGTGTAGCTGTCTCTTGGAAGGGTGGTGGGCATCCATCTTTGGACAGGACTTTATTTCCCTGTGTTCCATGTAAGCTTTTTTAGCTCACAAAAGTGAGAGGAAGGCAAAGGAAACTGGTTTCATGCATGAAGCAAAGCATCGAGTTGGTATTAAAGACGACAGGTTGGAGTGAGATGGGAAATGTGAACTGGCAAGTGTGATGGGAACCATTTTCTCCAATAGTCCCCAAAGCAATGATTTATGCAGGAATTATAAGAAGGTTCTTCTGTCTGACTTCTATTGAGGGAAAGATGTGCTGCATTTTAAATAAGCAGCAGGTGAAGTTAAAGCAAATAAGGGGAAATAAAGTCGCATGGAATTGCAGGATATTCAAAGCAGACAGTACTTGATGATCTTGGAATGAATCTGCCACGTCTGCGAATAAGGGAAGAGTAACTTTGTTCAGCGTCTCTCCTTCCTTAGTATGCAGAGGGATTATTTAGAGTTACAATAAGGAGTGAGTGGCATATGCTTCAGAAGAGAGTGGTGGGCACAGAGCTCCTTTACTGATGGGCCAAATTCTTTCTCTTCCTGGCTAGGTGGGTTCTCAGCTGCTGAAAGAATCTGAGAAACCACTGCAGGGAGGGGCTCCTTCTGGCCAGAGTGAAAACCTGTCTAGCAATTCTCCAGGAGGGGACAGTGCTTCTATGGGTGAGTTTCAGCGCTGGGATACCTCGCTAGTGGTACTGAAAGTTTCTGCTGTTACCTCATTATCTACTTTATACGTTACGGACACATATCCCTTTCTGTCCTGCTAACACCTTGGAGTGTCTCAAGCTACAGACCTAGGATCTTCTTTTCTCAAGTGCCAGAAGATACTGCTTTTTATGTTGTTGTTAATACAATCTAACACACCCTATGTTAGTAAGCAGAATCTGAACTGTATCTGTAATGACTGTGAAGGATGTATGGACGCAGCAGAGTGCAGATAGAGACTCCCCCACAGCCTTGTAGGATATGAGTGATATGCTATTTCTTGCTTGTTTAGCAAAAAGGACAAGGAGAAATACACTACTCTGAATATCCTGGGGTCCTAATTAGTGGAGCTTCTGCCTCTCCTCTACCAGCTTCTTGCCCACACTAATTTAGTAGTTTCAAAAGACAATAGTGTTTGGAATCTGTCTGCTCAAAGGAAGAGTAGTGCAATGAAGAATCATTACGTGTGATTTGTTTCAGCTCAAATCATCAAATGGTGTATATCTCTGTATCTCACTAGAGCTTGATAAGAAGGCAAACTTGCTGAAGTGTGAATACTGTGGGAAGTATGCCCCAGCCACCCAGTTCCGTGGCTCCAAGAGGTTTTGTTCCATGACCTGTGCTAAAAGGTAATAGCAAGACAACATCATCCTCTTCTCTGCATTCTCGGGAACTAGGCGTGTGTCCCTTCTCCAGGTAGTGTACAGTACTTCAGTACATCTGATTCTTCCTACGTGGGATGCATGGACCACGGAGACTCTTTAGTACTGGAGCTCTTTATGATTTGTGAATGCTTCTAGGTCTGGAGGAGGTGGATGTGGTGTTGAGTGTAAGCAGGATTTCCTACTTGCTCAGGAAATGAGATGGAAAGAGGGAAGTTCTTGGGCTCCAAAGAACCTCTCAAGTACACTTGACTGGCTAAATGAATGCTTACTGGTAGCTGTCTGCTCTGTTGGTAGTAAAGACAGAAGGGAAAGCTGGGGGGTGGAAATCCCGTGGAGAAATTACACTAGTCATTGCTGCCTCCTATTGATAGCAGAGTGCTTGTTATGGGTCTTTTTTCCCTTAGGGGAATGACTTAATTGACCCTTCAGATGTTAGATCAAGACTCTGGTGTCCAAATATTGCTTGTGAGAAGTCTGGACTGGTTCCTTCCAGGGGGAATTCTTAGAAGGAGGAAGAAGAGAATTTGATGGTAAAGAGAAGTTTCATCCACATCTAGAGAAAGGAGAAACAGTACGTTCAGTTAATTGCTGTTTCCTAATTGCTGCTCTGCTTCTACTTATTTGAGGTACAATGTCAGCTGCAGCCATCAGTTTCGGTTGCAGAGAAAGAAGATGAAAGAATTCCAGGAAGCCAACTATGCTCGTGTGCGCCGACGGGGATCGCGGCGCAGCAGCTCTGAAATTGCTCGAACAAAGATCCAGGGCAAGCGTCACAGGGTAAGGCCGTAGTCCTGCCTGCGGATTTCAGCAGAAATTCAGATTTCAAGGCAGATTTCAGCATAAAAATCGTCACTGTTGGAGGTACCAGGTTCTCAGTGTATGTAGCTGTACAGTACGTGACCAGTGCACATTGACACGGTCATTACGCAAGGCACAGTAAGCTGCTCTAATTGCTCATCAACTGCAAAAAGTGGATTAACATTTGTATTTGTTTACTCGGTATTCACTCCAGCATGTCACAGACATCCCAGTGAGTGTGATCAGCTGCCAGGTTTGGTAGAAAACAATCCACTTTTCCTGTACGGTTAGCTTTTTTTCAGATTAATTACTTGAATCAGATTATAGAAGGATTGAAAGAGCTCCAGAGCTGACATGAGGAAGAGGAATGGACTAGGGGAGGATGGGGAAAAGGAAGAGGAAGGGAGACGAGATTTTTACTTTCGTGTCCCTTCAGTGAGCTCTTGTGACAGCTGCCCCTGGACTAAGCCTGAGAAAATTGCCCCAGACTGCTGGGACTTGTACTGTTGCCATTGTCTGGTTTCGCACCTAGTAACTGTGGTTTAAAAAAAAATAATCACACTTTTTCTTTCTTTTCTGTGGGCTTACAGGGTCAAGAGGACTCAAGTCGAGGTTCTGATAACTCCAGCTATGATGAGGCTCTGTCCCCTACGTCTCCAGGACCCCTGTCAGTACGGGCCAGCCACGGAGAGAGGGACCTGGCAAACTCTAGCATGGCCCCACCTACCCCGGATCTACATGGCATCAACCCAGTCTTCCTGTCCAGCAATCCCAGTCGCTGGAGTGTGGAGGAGGTGTACGAGTTCATTGCATCATTGCAAGGTGAGGTTACGCTGCGTTTCTGCAGCCCTCTGATCCAGTAGCATGGGGAAATCTTTGAGAGTGGTATCTGGTGCTTTTACTGTGCTCTGTGCATGGTTCTGAACTGGAGTGGGTCATGCGAATGGATGAGTTGTACTCCTCAGGCAGCCTGCGTGGGGAGGGGAGATCGGTTAGATTCCTAGCTTACTTTCTGTGCCTGCCAGGGGTCTGTAAAGAGTGGGAATCTGTTTCTCAGTGCCGTTTCCTTGCTTTCGCAGGGTGCCAGGAGATTGCAGAGGAGTTTCGATCACAGGAAATAGATGGCCAGGCCCTGTTGCTTTTGAAGGAGGAACACCTCATGAGTGCCATGAACATCAAGCTGGGACCAGCTCTCAAGATTTGTGCCAAGATCAACGTCCTCAAGGAGACCTAACAGCTCGTGGCAGTAGATTCACTTCAGCTCTGACACCCAGAGCAGCTGCCAGCTTTGCAGGATCCTGCTGGGGCAGGGAAGAATGGGATGATCCCTTGTGGTCTTGTATTCAAGAAGAATGAGAAGGAATTTGACTGAAACTGCCGTGTACAAGCCCATGTTTTGGTCTTTTAATGGTGCTACAAGGGGGATGAAAACTCCTACCTGGGGCCTTTAAAACTTGCCTTCTTCCTGGTTTTGAATATGCCTCTCCCGTTTACCACATCAAGAAGGGAAAGGAGACTTCTTTCTGTTTTAGCAGACTTCTGAAAGGGGCCCTTGTCCCTTCTTGCTACAGCAGGTTTGTTGGATCTTATTTGAGTCTTGTGTCAGAACTTGAAGCATAGGAAGACCCTGTCCTGTATGGATATTGGGGGCAGCTGTGCTTGAGGCATTTAGGAAGCAAATTAGTAAATTTCAAGTGACAGATGTGGACAAAAAAGAACTAGAGCAAGAGGCTGCTTCTGTTACAATTCTAAATAACTAACCTAGGCTGTTTATGAACTGGGTTTAATAGCCATTCCAGCATGCATACCAAACTTGAAGGCACATGGCAATAGGAGCTGCCTTAGCTTTACTGTCTCCTGTAGAGATTCAGATCAAAGACTGAGTGTTTCGGCAGCTATTCACTCCAGATGCTCCTCATTGAAACAGTCAGAGGAGCATTTATCCTGAGTACTTACGACAAGGTGATGGGGAAATCAGAGTGGGGGGTTGTCTTACATTAGGAAATCCTATACCACTTGGTCTGTCTCCCCAGTATGTGAGTGCAAGGGTATAATTTACAGATCCAAAGCAGTCTCAAGAAGCACCAAGGCTCTTCATAAATCAGCTGTTTTGTTGGTTTTTCTTTTTGCTTCTTTGATTTGTTTTATGGGGTGGGGGTGGGGATTGTTCTCTTACCTGTTTGTATTATTTTTGTGTCTGTCTTTATTATCCTCAGGAGAGCTTATGGGACAAAGTTTAAGCTGGCAGGATTGTATTACCTGCCTCTGACTTTTTTTGGTGACGATGTAAGACAAATACTTCTCTTCCTCAGTATAAAAAACAAAAAACACTCCAACTGAATTATGATCCTTTAGTACTTCTTTCTAAGGGGTACAACTATGTTCTAGGCTAAGCCCCTGCTACTCAGCTCCCACAGTTTTTAAGGACCAAATCCAGAAGTTTTGTGACACTTCAGCAAAAGCAAAACTGTGGGCAGTTGTTTTCTTCCAGCACATCTGCTTTAAAAAAGGAAAAAAAAAACACTCTACAAAGCATGAAGATGTAAGTGTCCCCTACAGCCACATACCTGAAAGCAAGATTTAAAAAAAAAAAAAAAAGCTTTTCTATTTTCAGAAGTTTCATATGCGTACTTGAGTGAAATGCAAGAATGTTCTGTCTGAAAAACACCTACTATTGTAGGAGAGCTGTAATTGCATGGGGGAAGGCCTAAGGGCCTAAGTAAGAAAACCTGAGAGATCTTTGGAATGGGCTCTTTATTGACTCATCAGAAAAAGAGGGGGAAGTGCTCAGAAGATGCTACAATGTGGAGGCAACTTCTGATCTTTAATTAACACAGGCCCAAAGGAAGCTGCCTGATAACGCTTTTCAGCCTAAATAGAGGGGGGGGGATGGTGTGCACGCACAGATGGGGGGAGTTTAGAACTTCTAACAGTAAAGGAAAGCTGCCACAAACCATTTTATTTAGCAGGCTGACTGTGACAAAACTCATGTTTAGTTTAACCCTCAGCAGGGTAGGCAGCCATGTATATTACTAGCTGCCTTTGAGGACTGGATTTATTTCAGTGAAATGGAAACATTTCACATTATTTCATGTTCAGTGTTCTTAATAAAAAAAAATGCTTGTTCAGGCTTTACAAGTCTGGCTGCTTTATAACTTTTATATCAGATAATTGAGAAGAGAAACAACAAGAACTTTGATTCTTATTGTTTCAGAAAAATATAGGGAATTTTTCTCCTCTGTAACTCCATGAGCTTCTAAAGTTTCAGTCCGAAAGGTGTGTATAACCTGAGGAGACAGTCGGGGCACAAGACAGCAGATACTGAAGACCCTTTGCCCTTAGCTAACAAAGGTGGCCTGGTACTAAAGAAACCTATTACCAGCGTAACACTCCAGCAGGTTTTTTTGGTCATTTTATTTTTGAAAGTTGTGTTTTGTACAAAAAAAATACCTTACACACCACCATGAAAAACAGTAACAACAGGCTTAGTGACTTCCTATTTTTTCAATGTTATGAGAAAGACTGAGACCATAACAAAAATCAAAGACAGCAGGAATTGTTTGTCCACTCAACCCAGCAAGAGAGCAGGGTGCCTCTTTTGCCCATCCTGCCACTGTTCAGTCTGCTTTGGCAGTACACAAATATACAAACCTTGCCTGTGCTAAAAGCAGAAGTGGCTTGCTCATTCACAGTCTCCACCCTCAAGACTGAAGATGGTTCTCTGCCAACCCATAATATGGCAGAATAGGATTGTGTAGAGTCTAGCTCCTCACATCGAAGGCAATTAGGAACCAGGTGCCAAGTTCCTAAAGGCTCCAATTAAGCCTTAAAAATTAGCTGTACCTACTTTTCACTAGTGCCCAAGGGGAAGGTTCTCTCTCACTCCCAGCCAGCAGCAGCATGCAAGTACCATTTGCACAGGGCAAGTATCTTTAGCCTGGTTTTGGACCCTGCTTACAGGGACAATGGTTTAATCAAAGCTGATGCTGTAAGCACAGGCATCCCTGAACACAGTTTTGAATGCGTTGGCATTTTTACCCTTGGCTTCCATGGTTCCTTTATCAGTTTTGGTAGCTTCACAGGAAAGCCCTTTGCCAAACAAGGAACTGTAGTGTGTAAGGGAATTCGGACAGTAACTGAGCTATGTGGGCAGTTAGCCTCAGACAGACTTGTAACAGAACTCAAGCGGCAGCTACCTCTGACCTTCCTATTTTCCCTTGATGACCATTTCACTTTCAGCAAATGCCCCTTTTACTTAGCAGGACATCATTGCCTTTTGATTCTCACTGATAGAGAAGACTGACAATATTTCAGCTGAACTGGAAAGTCATGAGACTGTATTGGATTCCTATATTTTTTTTTTTTTTTAGCATTGTCCCTCTCAGGTTTGAGAGGATGGCATATGCATACCTTGATATCTGTTGTAAGAAATGGGCACGTACTTTTACATGCATTTCCATTAGGAAAAAGGACTGCAGGGGTGCCAATGCCTCTTCCATCCTCAACAAGTCCGGCATAGAGCACTCTGTGCAGGTTATGCTGGCAGAAACTGTGTGTAACAGTGCAGAAGCTACAAAAGCTGAAAATGCATTCAAAGAAAAAAAATAAAAATCCAGTGTCTTACAGATCCTGTAAACCTTAGGAGGAAAAAAGAAAGACCCCCTCCCCTACAGCCTCTGCTGTTTTAACCCACTGCCTCCTTTCCCTTTCTACACCTATCCATGGCTCTTTTTTATTCCTCTGACTAATCTTTTATTCCTGAGTCTTCTCAGCTCTCAGCACTTGCCCCCCCCCCAGCTCTGCTGCATTTTTGAAGAAAAGCAGCATTACATTCATAAGCCACATGATCAGGGACCAGTGCTGTTCACACACAGAGGCATCCATGAGATTTGACATACCAGAGGCAGCAAAAGCAAATCGTAGAAAGAAAACCAGAAGTGAGAGAAGAACTGGCTGGGAAGCATCCGATTAACCAAGCGCTGGGGAGGAGAGTTCGGTGTTGAGAGCCCATCACATGGGTAGCAAGTGGTCATCCCGTTCTTCGGACTCCTCACCCAGCTGGTCATCGCCCACACCACGGTACGCAGCCGGTGCGTTTCGGGGCTTAGATCGACAGACAAAGTCGCAGCCGTCCTGCAAGCACAGGTTATTGCACTGGAGTCAGACTGCGCAGGCTCAGCAGCTCCTGGTTTGCTATGGGACCACTCCCACCCCACTGTTACCTGGGGCAGGTCCACAGAACACTGCCTGGGCAAGAGGCACATACATGCAGATACCCTAGTCAATCCTGACAGTTTGTTAGCTCTGGAGTAGGACATGGAACCAATTAACAGGATGCAGCAACACTGAGACACACGTGGAGGATAAGCAGCTATGCCTAAGGTGACCAAGGAATGGTTTCACATAACCCGACACAAACATTTCACAGCTCCCAGCTTGACATTCCTACCTGAAAACCGCTAACCACAATGAGCAGCAGGGATCCAGCCTCAGCAAGGAGTCAGTCAGTAATGCCCTCCCTCTGCCCCCTCCCCTCCACACTCCAAAAAAAATAACCTCTCCTTCTGCCACAGGGCGCACTGTGGCAGGTCTACCACCCAAGTAATACAGTCCATGAAGACAAGGAAGCTACCATTTTACCATTCTCTCTTATCCTAACACACAGGCCTAGACTGCAAATACACAGACAGATTTTCACTCACCGCCACCAAATTGCCCAGATCTTGCCAGAAGGCAAAGTGAGGAAACTGCTCCATGCCCTTGGCTCCCACTACAAGGCGCTGGAAGAGGAACCCACCAACAATGTAGACTGCAATTACCGAGGCAAATCTGGAGGGCAGAATTAAAAGTCAGAGCTCAGAAAATCCTACAATTTCTTCCAAGCCAGTTACTTGTCTCAGGTTGGCACTGGGGGAAGTAGCTGAGCACCACTTAAAGAAGTGATCTGTTTAGCAAGACCACACTAGAAAAGGTCTCCAAAGTATTGATCTGGTAGTATCTTCCAGGAGCATTACATAAAGTAGTGCCCCAAAGCACAAACACAGGAAATGAAGAGTCAAGACTCCTAGTCTGAATTTCCAGCTCCGGAAAAGAGCTGCTGTACAGTTCCAGGATGTCACACCTTCCACGTTTCAGTGCACAAATCTGTAAACTATGACGGGGGACGTCTGCAGGGAACAGAGCAGCTCCGCAGCATTGTGCCTTATGCTACAGCTTGTCTACAAAGCTCAGAGGCACACTCACATTCAACAGTAGCCATGGGCAGGTATATTACAACGGCCTTGACTAGTATAACACTTGCTGCTTTTCTAAATGGCCTTGGAGATTACGGCCCAAACACGAACGGCTCTTCCAGTGACTCACGTGATTAGTAGAATGGAGCCAACGCTGAGGTGGGAATCCTCAGCTGGACAAGCCACACTGCTGTCCATCTCAAAGAGGTAGAAACAGTCCTGCTCCTTTTCACGCTCCTCCGAAACAATGCTGAATGAGCTCTGCAATTTAGGAAAAGTCAAATCACTTGAAAATACACCCAGGCAAGCTGAACTTTACCAGAAAGCAGTTTTATCACTGTTGGTACAACTATGCAACAGCCTTGGAGAACAGAAGAAAACCTCACTGCCTCCTCAAGGCCCTTCTGTTATAAGGAATGTCTGAGCGCCTCCTGCTCCTCTCCCACCTCACGCTGTCACTCACCGCCATAACTCCCCGCTTGCAAGAAATCATTATCACAGCTCTTCTCTTCTCACCACTGCAGTGCGTACCATATGAATCACCCCCCTTATAAATCAGCATGATCCAGTCACCTGCCAAGAGAGAAAGAATATAGGTTGCAAATCCAGACCCATAGGCTAAAGATACCAAGTAAGAGATACTGCACATGGCCTTACTTCCATTGAAGACCTGGGTTTCATTGATTCTTCCTACCACCGTAGTCTTTCCAGTCTTTCTATCCCTTTGTATTAAGCCAGCAAAATCATGTGAGCTGTCATTGACCTGCCTGCACACCCTGAACTGGTAGGTGTAGTTTTCTGTTTCGCTTATCTCCACAGTTGCATTAAACCTGCAGCAGAGAGAAGACAGAACAGACAGCCCGCTGAATGACAACGAGTAGGGCTCAAAGCAGATAACACTCAAGACCTGGGAAGCCAGTCACAGCCCACACTAATGGCAGAGCCCGTCCTGAAGTCTGACCCCAAATTCTTCTCTCCGCCTGACCTTAACTTGGGCACGGTGCAATCCCAAGGCCCACAGCAAGCTGACACGTGCCCATACTGTACCTCATTTGGCTCAGGGGTTCCAGTTTCTTCAGCAGGGCTTTTTCCATTTGTGACTCACTGCTCTCATCACCGACCACATCGCAGCTCTGCTCTTTTGATGGCTCAGTCCCCACACCAACAGCAAGTGCCATGAAGACCACCAGCACAGCAGAGGTATGGCAGGGCGAGGACATCCTGGGTACACACCGCAAAGAACAGAGGGGATTAACCATTTCACCCCCCTGCAAACTAACTGCAGAGTCACAGAGTCAATCACTGGCCACTTCCTCAATCCTGACTGCAAAAAGGAGAAGTAGAAGTCTAGAAACACTTCACAGCTCCCGAGAGACACCAAATCCTAACCTTTTTTACTCAAGCACAAGTCACGAGGACTCTCTGAGATCCTTTTCTGAATTTTGCCTCGGGACCGCACGAACGTTTGCTGCTGAGCCTGTTAATTAGCATCGATTCAGCCACAGCAGAGCCCAGCAGGCTGAACGCTGGCACGGGTTTCAGCCACGAGCCGCTGCTCTTTATCTCACCCCCCTGAGCAGCCAGTCAGCAAGCAATGATTTACCAGGCCTCTCACCAACCCCCTCTGCATCTCCTGTGCAAACAGCTTGCGGGGAAGAGCCGCCGCGGCCCGCCAGGCTGCCTGCTCGCGCCCCTTAACCCCAGCAACCACGTTACGATCCTCGAGCTGACAACTCGTGACCCGCGCCCCAGGGCCCAGCAGCGCCCCGCCTCGCCTCGCCGCTGCCTCCCTCGGGCCCGCGCCGCTCGGGCCCGCGCCGCGCTGCCCCGCGCCTCCCCGCCCCGCCGCACCCACCTGCCGCCGCCCCGAGCCCGGCGAGCCCCCAGCAGGCGCGGGGCGAC